GGGTCCTTGCTGTCCCCTGCATCCATACTTGCACCGCATGGTGCAGAGGCTTCTCGGTCGCCACTGTGCCCAATCCCCCCGCCCCCTCCTCTTCTTTTTCTTCCTGGCGAACAGCTGGAGAAGGAGCAGCTGATAGCGAGGCTGAGAGAATCGGATTTTAAGTCATACCCCAAACGGGACAATCGCCTTCAACAACTGGACTTACTGAGACAGTTCCTTCGTTTTCAGTGAAATCCTACTCTCTGGCTGGAGACACAGATGGCCTCAAATGAGAGAGATGCCATATCGTGGTATCAGAAGAAGGTAACAGCAGTAATTTTTATTTGTAAACCATACTTCTGCAGAAAAACTCCCGTAGAGTAGTGCTACTTTCCTTAAGTTTAGTAATGTCACATATTCTTATGTAATATCTCAACATAACTGGAAAAAAATGATGTGCAAAGTCATTATAAACGCAGCTTCAGGTTCCAGGACGTGAGCTGTAAGTCACCTTTCTCCAGGCTGCATACACAAACTGCTGCAATGCTTTGCCTTGCAAATTATCAAATTAAATTTTTTTCTAAAGACAAGAATGAAATTCTTATCTGCATGGCTCAGATTGCTACTGTCGTCTGATTGAGCTGTCCCTTACCTTTTATTCCTCTCTGATATTCCTATTGATATTTTCCTTAGGGATTGGAAATATCTTCTAGGTGATCTTTAATTGAAAATATTCCCTGTGTTGCTTTTTTACTTTTTAGATTCAGTCCTCTTTTTGTTTTGTTTTGTTTTTGGAAACATCCCTTGAAAGTATGTATTTATTATGTAAGAAATAGGTTTTCCAGACAACCACATTTAATAGATTGATGGCTATGTGAGGTTTGACTTAGATACAAAGATTGCTTTTGCGTCACTTAAATAGCCTGCTCCTTATTTCAGATTGGAGCATATGATCAGCAGATATGGGAAAAGTCAATCGAACAGACTCAGATTAAGGTAAATTTATTTCTTTGATTCTAGCTTTGTTACTGCTTTAAAGAGAAGAGTGGATCATACTTTTTAAAAAATATGCACTTATCCACCAAGTATACTTTTATTCTTTGAATTTTATAAGAAAAACAGCACTGCATCGATAATGTTAAAGGGCAGTTGATATGTGACCTCAGTAGCAAATGTCCCAGGTAAATGGGAATATGGTTTCTTATGTCTGGTCAGTTTTTACCATGTGACAGTTCAGATCCAGTATTGCCAGACTTTTATTTGAGAGAAGCTGGGAATACATACTTTTAACAAGGAAATAGCCACATTTTTAAAGAGGGTAGTAGTCCTCTTCCTCTCTTCCTCTTTTTCTCCATCTTCTTCCTCCTCTTCCTCCTCCTCATAATCATCACCAGCTGTACAAACCAAATGAAATTCTTATTTGGCCTACATCTAGCCTTCAGACCCCATTTTTTCAATTACTGGTTTTGAGGCAAGCCTTCAAGTTTTTCAGGTTCTTAAGCTTCTTTTTATATTACCTTTAGAACTGAGCACAGTCTATGGTTTCTTCATGCTAAACAACAGAGAACTGCTGTGTAATTCAGATGCCAGTTATTTAATTTGTAATAGTAGAGGGGAGGGTTAAATTTTAGTACCTAATTCACCAAATGGGAACGAGAAATAATGGTGCCGGTGCAAATTAGTCATTGAGTGGTTCCTGGGTAGCCGCTTGTAATTTGATGTTCTTGAGGGAAAGCCCAAAGAAAAGAATGTAAATCTAGATTAAGGGTCTCACTTCCTTCGAAAGTGTTCATAAATGCCAGTGTATTCTTGGTTTGGTATTGTTTTGAAAAAAAAAACAAAACAAAAACTGTTGCAGACCTTTATCAGCACTTTAAAAACGGGTAAGTACAACTCATAGTTTTCTGCTTATCTAAGTTACACTGATCAGACTAGACCTCAGCTATCTTTGGTGGGATGTATTTAACCATTACTCAAGGTGCATTCCCTTATAGGCCAATCACTTAAAAAGCTGTTTGAGCTTCTTGCTATACAATTAACTTTACAGCCCTCCCTTATAATAATGGAAGATGAGGTTCAGATGAATTTCCAAATTTCATTTTGTAACTGTCTAAATCTTGCCTAATTATTCTTCTGTGAGCTGCTAAGCCATGTCTGTAGTGTAATAGAAATGGCAGAATCGGGAAATTAGGTAATGTTTAGTGACCTCTAACTTGGGATCCCTAACAGGTCCTTGTGATTTTGCCTGGGTTTTGGTTTCCTGATCCTTAAAAGGATTTTACCTCCTGCTACAGAATAAGAAATCTACCTCCAACCAATTTAGATTTTTTTTTTAAACTCTTATTTCCATGACTCTTAACATATGCCTTTTAGTACACCTTATTAGGACGTGTGTGTGTGTGTGTGTGTGTGTGTGTGTGTGTGTGTGTGAGAGAGAGAGAGAGAGAGAGAGAGAGAGAGAGTGTGTGTGTGTTTTGAGAGAAAGCATAGGAGGTTGTGTGGGTTGGGTAAGATCTGGGGAGAGCTGGAGGAGAGGAAAGGATATAGTCAAAACATTGTATGAAAAAAAATTTTAAAGTTTTTTTTAAATGTCCTAAAAAAGGTAAGCAGTTTCTGCCTTCATGGGTTTCATGGTCAGGATAATGTGAAAAAATAAGATATTTTTCAAAAAAGATGTTTAGTTAGATTAGACAAACAAAAAAATCTAAATTAAAAATAAAAAAGGAAAAATTTAAAAGGAAAACAAAAAACTTAGTATCAGATCATAGTACTATTTTACTGTTCTAAACTACATTTATAGGGAGAGATGACTAATCAGTTAAGAGCACTGGCTGCTCTTTCAAAGGGCCCTGTTAAATTCCCTGTACCACATGGTGGCTCACAAATGTCTGTAACTCCAGTCCAGGGGGCTCTGATACCCTCTTTGGCTTGTGGGGTATATCATGTATGTGGTGCACATTCATACTTTCAGGTAAGACACATAAAAATAAAATGTTAAAAAATTTTAAAATACATTTATAAAAGTATAGTTAAAATTTTAAATGGAGCTAGGCAGTGGTAGCTCATGCCTTTAATCCCAGCACTTGAGAGGCAGAGGCAGGTGGATCTCTGTGAGTTCAAGACCAGCCTGGTCTATAAGAGGTAGTTCCAGGACAGCCTCCAAAGCCACAGAGAAACCCTGTCTCGACAAACAAAAAACCAAACAAAACAAATTTTAAATGGGTACTGGAGAGATGGTTCAGTAGTTAAGAGCACTTGGCTGCACTTCCAGAGGACCTGAGTTCAGTTCCTAGCATCCACATGGTGGTTCAGAACCATCTATAATTCTAGTTCCAGGGAGATCTGATACCCTCTTTTGACACAAAATAACCTACAATTTAAAACAATTAAAAAAATCTTACTTGGATCAAAACTTTGATAAGAACTCTGGCAAACTTACTGAACTTCTCTGTTTAGTAGATTCAACATTTTGGTAGATGTTGAAAACAAGGGAAAAGTACTAACAGAAATATATGACTTAAGGAGCAAGCAAGCATCCCTGGCTGTCCTGGAACTAGACAATTTGACCAGCTTGGCCTCACATTTGTATTAATCCTTCTGCCTTTGCCTCCTATGTTCTGTGAGTAACACTGATTTTATTTTAACATTTGAAAATAAATTATTGTAACTCGAAGAATAAAGATCCAAACCATGTGATCTTCTCAGCAGACACAGTAAAAGTACTTGAGAAAATTCTGTGCATTTGTAAAATTTATAATGATGAAGAGTTGAAGGCAAGTCCCTTAACAAACTAAAGGCTGGAAAAAAAGCCTCCAGCAAATGTCACACTTAATGGATAAAAACTGTTCTCCCCATGGTCAAGAAAAAACCACCAACACTAGATTTCCCTACTTTTATCTAATTATGGATCCTAGCGTGGGCTATAAGGCAAGTAAAAGAATGGAAAGACAGCAAAATAGGTAAGAAATGGAAATTGTCTTTATTCATGTTGACCTAATCACATAGTTAGAAAATTCTGGGGAAACCTACAAAAATTACTGACAGGTAAGTTTGGCAGAGGTTTTTGAATATAAAGTCAGTACACAAAAATCACTTGAGTTTCTCTGTATTTGCTATGGTAGTCTGCAAGTAAAATTAAGTATCCCAGCATTTGAGAGGCAAAGGCAGGATGATTGCCATTAGTTTAAGGCAAGTTTGTGCTGCAGACAATAAGATTCTGTATCAGAAAAATCAAAGGCAGTGGGCTGGAGAGATGACTCAGCAGTTGAGTGTGCTTTTTGCACAGTTAGGAAGACCTAGAGTTAGAGTTCTTACTACTCACATGACAAGTCCAGCAAATAGTGCCTAACTCTAGTTCTGAGGGACCTCAAGTTCTCTTCTGGCTACAGGTTTGTACACAAGGACATACACTCACACACATGCACAGAAATAAGCAAATCCTAAATAATTCTAATCAGTATAGTATAAAAGACAAAAAAATTCTTAGGCATGAATTTTGCATAGAAAGTCTAAGACTTGCATGCTAAATCTACACAGTATTTTTCAGAGATGTTCGAGAGCACATACCTCGTTCATGATCTAGAAGATTCAGTATTGTTTAAATGTCAGTTATCTCCCAGTGTATTTAATAATATGCCTGGGCGGGGGTGGAACTAATAAGCTAGCTCCCATATTAGTATGCATTGCAAAGAATTTGGAATATTAAAAATTTTAAAAAGTCATTGTTGGAACGCTTATATAATTTAGTATGGAACTATAGTAAGCAAAATAGGGAAATAGTATTGCATTTGCATGATTGATAAATTGATGGAATAGAAAAGAAAGTCTAGAAATAAATCCTTATTTCTGTTTAATTAAAAAAAATAGATTTATTTTTTATGTGTATGGGTGTTTTGCCCACATATATGTATGTGTACAAATGTGTGCTTGGTGCCCATAGATGTCAGAAGGCGGCATTGGATCCCTTGGAACTGGAGTTACAGATGGTTGTAGGCCACTATGTGGGTGTTAGAAACTGGGTCCTCTGTGAGAGCTGTATGTGCTGCTAATCACCAAGCTCCCTCTCCAGCCCCTCCTTACCACATTAATAGAATGGTTTTCACCTGGGCTATTATATAACCCAGGCAGGCACGGGGCTCTCTAGGTAGTTTCAGCTGCCTTTGAATTCATAATCCTCTTGCCTCAGCCTTGTCAGTAATGGAGCAGATGTAAGCTATGTTTTGCTATAAATTCAATTTTTAACAAAGATGCCCACCCTAGTTTTCTTTCTGTTGGGTTAAAAACACTGACCAAAAGCAATATGGGGAAAAAGTTTTTTGGGCTTATCTTCCAGATCATCTCTGAGGAAAAGTCAGGACAGAAACACAAGGCAGGAGCTCTGAGAACACTGCTCTCTGCTTATTGCCTTGCTCACAGGCTCCTGCACACCTCGCTTTCTTAAAAAGGTCCAGTGCAACCTTCTAGGAATGGTGCAACCTGCAGTAGGCTGGACCCTCCTACATTAGTCATCACTTAAAACAGACAAGGCCACAGGTCACTGGCCAATCTCTCAGTTGAGACTTCCTCAGATGACTCTAGGCTGTGTCAAGTTGACAGCTAAAGCTAAAAAAAAAAAATCCAATGGGAAAATCTTGGCCTTTTCAGTAACTGGTGCTGAAACAGGATGATTTTTTATTCTTTATGTAACAAAAATTGATTATAGATTTAATTCGAAGAAATTAAACTAGATGCCCAACTTGTGTGCCCAGGAAACCCTGCCATTCCCTTTTCTCTAGCTGGCAGATTGGGGGAGGTGTGATACTTGGAGTTACTGTAAAAGATGTTAACCAGCAGGAGTTTGACAGAGTTCTGACAGCCTTACTCAAAAAGTTCAGGAAGCTGAAAGTTCCTGAATGGATAGACACAGTCAAACTGGCCAAACATTAAGAGCTTGATCCCTATCATGAGAACTGGTTCTATATATTAGCTGCTTCCACAACACAGCGCCTGTACCTCTG